CAGCGCTGCAGGAAGTGGCCAACCCACTATGCCACTGTATTGGCCTTTAGGTCTTGTTTTGTTTTGTTTTAATTTAGGGAGGTGTAGTGTTGCCAGTCTTGCATTTTGCCAAGTAAGCATATTAAGTAAAATCTACCATGTTTTCATGAAGTACAGGACATGTGTGTATCCCCGAAGTTCTGTTTTTTTTTTTTTAAAGATTTATTTATTTTTATTACAAAGTCAGATATACAGAGAGGAGGAGAGACAGAGAGGAAGATCTTCTATCCAGTGATTCACTCCCCAAGTGACCGCAACAGCCGGTGCTGCACCGACCCGAAGCCAGGAGCCAGGAGCTCCTCTGGGTCTCCCACGTGGGTGCAGGGTCCCAAGGCTTTGGGCTGGCCTCGACTGCTTTCCCAGGCCACAAGCAGGGAGTTGGATGGGAAGTGGGGCTGCCATCCAGTGAAATGAACCAGTGCCCATATGGGATCCCAGCATGTTCAAGGCGAGGACTTTAGCCGCTAGGCCACGCTGCCGGGATCCAACAGAGGTCAGTACTTCAGCTTTACTGGAAAAACAAAACCCTGCCACCAGAGTCTTATTTTTCAGGGAATGGGTGCAGACTTGAGCATGAGATCAGGTACAGGGTGAAAGTGTCCCGGGGTGGAGCCAGCTGCACCCATTGCTGTCACAAGCATGGCCGGGGCAGGTCTCTTTGGCACTGGCAGAAGTACTGAAGGCTGGGGCTTGTGGCAGCTGGGAGCCAAAAAGAGTTACTATGCCCTAGGGGCAGCAGTGGGCCTTGATCTGGCCCAGCAGGCTGCTGAGGCCCAGGGCCAAGTGCCCAGGGTGCATCTTCCCACGGAGAAGCTGCATGGCAAGGGTGGGGACAGAGCCTGGGGTGTGGCCTGACACCAGCTGGTCCTTAGGAATCCCCTTGGCTGAGATGAATGGAAGCCCTCCCAGCTCTGGGGCAGCCTTTCCTGCATAGTCAGGCCAGCACGGTGGCCGTCTGTGCCTGTGGCATTTTGCTGCCCAGGTTGGAGCTGTGGCAAGGAGGGCATTGCCAAGCAAAATGGTCCCCAGCTGGTGGCAGTTTTCAGGGCGTGAGATGTTCAGGGAGGGACAAGGATGCCACGTGCAGACAAGGCCCCACAGCTGGTAGGCGTTAGCAGCGAGGCCTGGAAGGCTGTGTGCACGGGCTCAGGGCACAGTTTCCCAGTGCTGTGTTTTCTCTTCAAGGACAAAGCAGCCCCAAGGAGTCCTTGCATGACGGCCAAGGGCCCCGGCAGCAGGCCAGGTCTCAGACCACCCCAGTTCATTTTCATTTTGTGTGGCTTTTACTGACTGTCTTTTGTCCTGAGGCAGAGCACAGAATGTCATATCTTGCTTCTTTCTTTAAAAGAAAATATTTATTTAGTTGAAAAGCAGAATTAAGAGATCTTCTATCTGCTGGTTCATTCCCCAAATGGCCACAACAGCCAGGGCTAGACCAGGCTCAACTGTGAGCCAAGAGCTTCATCTGGGTCTCTCACGTGGGATCATGGCTCTAAGGACTCGGGCCGTCCTCCACTGCTTTCCCAGGCCATTAGCAGAAAGCTGAATCGGAAGTGGAGCAACCAGGACTTGAACTGGTGGCCATATGAGATGCCAGCACTGCAGACAGCAGCTTTTTCCAGAACGTCACAGTGCCAGTCCCGTGTTTGTGTGTGTGTGTGTGTTTTAGAGATTTATTTGTTTGTAAATCTGCCATTCCCCAGATGGCCACAATGGCTGGGGATAGAGCCAACAACTCAATCTGGATCGCCCACCCGGCTGGCAGGGTCCCAAGGACTTGCTCCATTTTCTGCTGCTTTGCTAGGCCATAAGCAGGGAGCTTGATTGGAAGTGAAACTGCCAGGACTCAAAGTAGCACTCATATTGGAGTAGCACTGCAGGTGGTGGCTTAATCCACTGCACCACCATGCTGACCTCCATATCTTCCTTCTTCCCTCACTATCAGAGTGGCAAGCCTCTGTAGCTAGCATATGTTTCAAAGGAGTATACCCTTTACATGCTGCACGACTGTCTATTCACCTTTGTCATGGTTCAGTCCGCTACAATGGAGGTAGGTCAGCAACCTTTTTCTGCAAAGGGCTTGTGACTAAATATTGCAAGCTTGTGGACCTGGGATCTGTGCTGCAACTTCTCAGCTCCACTGTGGCAGCACAAGAACACACAAAGGGGGTTAGCATTGGGGTGCATCGGGCCAAGCCACCACCTGCCATGCTGGCATCCCGTAAGAGTGCCGACTCGAGTCCTCACTGCTCCAGTTCTAATGCGGCTCCTTACTAACTTGCCTGGAAAGGCAGAAGAGAATAGCCCAGGTGCCTGGATCTTTGCTACTCATAGGCGGCACTGGCTGGCCTTCCAGGCTCTTGGCTTCAGCCTGGCCCAGCCCCTGCCATTGCAGCCACTGGGGACACCAAGAAGTGGATGGAAGATCTGTTTCTTTCTTACTTTCCCTCTCAAATGCATAAACAAAAACACTTTCTGGAAAAAAAAAAAAAGGCTTAAAAGGCACCCATTAAAAATAAAGCACCTAATGTGTCGGGATCCCATGTGGGCACCGGTTCATATCCTGGCTCTTCTGCTTTCTATCCAGCTCCCTGCTTGTGGCCTGGGGAAGAAGCTGAGGACTTGGGACCTGGCACCTTTGTGGGAGACCCGGAAGAAGCTCCTGGCTCCTGGCTTCAGATCAGGTCAGCTGTGGCCGTTGTGGACACTTTGGGACGTTAACCAGCAGACAGAAGATCTTCCTCTGTGTCTCTCCTGCTCTCTATTTCTGACTTTCCAATAAAAATGAATTTAATAAATCTTTTAAAGAAAAGCACCCAGCAAAGGCTGCGAATTCATGAATCTACTCTCTTCCATTATGGCTAGCTGCTGCTTTTGCTGCATGTCGGGTCGACAATCACGCCAGCTGTTTCACTGTGGTGGAAACACGCTTTTCACAGTCGCACTTGTTTTCCCGGCAGAGCTGAGCGGCTTGGCCGTCTGCGTCGTACGGATGCTAAAACTGTAGATACACCATAGCTGGAGTCCTGCGGTTCTGAACTATGTGCAGACACGCACTCCCATCTCAACAGGTATTTGGGGGGGCATTTTAGAGACAGACCTAAGTCCAGGTGGCTTGTTTGGATATTCTTCGGTGAGTCCTATCCTAAGCTTGATTGTTCCATCTTCAAAAGGGGTCCCTTCAGACCCCAAAATGTTCACATTCCACACTGCCATGTTGTTCTCTAACGGAGCCTCACTGATTCCAGCTGAAAGATCCTCCTCTAACCTCTTGGAGTCCTTAGGAGGCGCCCCTGTGAGCTGGGCTGACAAATCTCTGCTGCCACGGTCAGGGCTGGGGCAGCCATCCGCTTCTGAGGCAGCGGGTGGGTGGAGGTCTAGGAGGCCGCTCACGCGCCCAGGGGAACAGCATTGCCCCTCCGCAGATAGTATTATTGTACCTTTCACTGGCAGGGGCTTTCCTGGGGGAAGTGGAGTGTCTCTGAGTGTCACTTTGTCCAATGACAGCTGTCTGAGATGGCCTCACTAGAGAATCTGTTCTTTCCTCCCCTCTAAGTGTAGGCAGCAGTGTGTGTGTGAGGGGTCACTCACACCAGTGTGAAGGGCACCTAAGGATGTGAAATCTAGTGCCCTCCTGGCATAGATGGTACCACCAAGGCCACCAAGAGTGGGGCAATGGGTCAGGGCAGCAGAGTGGGAAAGCAGGGCATGTACAGGTCCACAGGCACAGCCAAATGCACGGGAAGCCCCATCACCCAGGATCCCTGTGTTTTCCTCACTGGTGGGAAGTCAGGCTGCCTGCTTCCCACCATCTCCATGACTCCTGGTGCCATGTGATGGAGTCCAGCCAGGATGTGAGTTCCCAACTCCTTGGCCATGGACCTACCAGGGTTTCTAAAGAACACCTGCCCGGTTTGTCAGTCTAGAACTGGATCCGACACCCCAGTCACTGGGATAATGCCTAGGTTCTTTTGAGGACGTGAAGGCGAACACGCTTGGAACATATAGTACATAGGACTAGACGATGCTGTTAATAACAGCACCTGTTTCTCTTCGGGCTTAGCTCCTGGGAGAGAGCATAGCTAGGAGCACGCAGAATTCTGTCGTTTACACGCTGTGCGCCCCTGGCAGCCCTGCATTCACAATGGAAGGCAGCCACGCGGGACAGACTTCGCTTGTGCGTTTGGGAAAGCCTTCCTTAACACTCGCGCTGGTCCCGGCTACAGGCGGCTTGAGGCGCGCGTAAAGCCCCCTGGGGTGGGGGTGGAGGCAGCTCCGCTCGCGGGGCCGAGGGGGTGCATGGCCGGGGTGCTGCCTGCTGGCTGGCCGACCGCTCTGCCGCTCTGGAGAGCAGTGGCGCCTTTTCTTTGTCCTGCAGTGGGGGCTCCTCCGAGTGGCACGTCAAGGCTGCCACAGGCATTTTCATGTAGTGGGCAGTACGGGATTCGGATTTTTTCAGCAGATTCCGTTTGCGGGGATTCACGGGAAAGGAGTGCAGCACGCTAGCCGAGCGCTGGGCACGTGGGAACCTGTGTGCGGACAGCTGCCCCGCGGCTCCCCGCAGCCTGCCGCCCTCGACTCCGCGCCCCGAGCCCATCCCGCCGGCCCCGGCGCCCCAAGCTTCAGCCTCCGTCGGCCGACGCGGCCACTGCGCACAGGGCCCTTCTCTGGAGTCTCCGGAGTTTGTGGCATGCGGCGCGCGGTGAGGCCCAGCGGCGGGGTGCAGCGCCCGAGGCCGCCCCTTCGGGGCTCGCCGGTGAGCGGGGCGACGCCAGGGCCACAGGGACACGCAGGAGTCGGGGACGCTGGTGGACAGCGCGCCGCCTCCCCAGCTCCCCGGCGCCGGGCCCCGCGACAGGCCGGGCCTGCGGGCGGCGGGCGGAGCGTGCGCGTGCGGCGCGGCCCCGCCCCTTCCGCCCCGCCTCCCCGCCGGGGCGGGCCGCGTCCGGGTGGGGCCCTGCGGCGCTGGCCGGGCTCCTCCTGCCCGCGCTTCTCCCCCTCCGAGGCTCTGGCGCCGCGCTCCTCGGGCCCCGTGCCTCTCCCCAGCAATGGCGGCCTGGCGCTCCGCGTTCCTCGCTTGCTTGGCTTTCTCCCTGGCCACCCTGGTCCAAAGAGGTAAGGCGGGAGGGGCCGTGCAGGGTCCCCACCCTGTGGGCCCGGGGTTGCTGTGCGCATGAGCGGCCCGGCCTCCGCGCCTCGCGGTGGGTCTGCGGAGGCAGCTGGCGCACCGGCTGTGCCCAGCGAAGGGGCGCGGGATTGGATTGCAGAACCCGCGAACGGCTAATTCCTGGCGCGATCCGAGTGCCAGGAGAGGAGAGACGAGACCCCTCCTGTGCTGCGAAGGAAGCGGCGTGGGTACTGGGGTCTGTTACGATCGTGAACAGGCAGATGTCTGTGGGTGTAAACGCCTGTCCCCAGGACTGTACCTTAGGGAAAACCTTGGAGACGGGCAAACTCTTTCAAAACTTACTGCTGGCCATCTGCAGAAGCAGCACAGGGACAGTGTCTGGAGCAGATCGCTGCCCTCTGTAGTCCGCATCGCATTGCCACGGGGTTTCGGGTGCGGCAGGGAATAGCCACCTGCACTTCTAACAGATGCGCTTCCCTGGGGCGGGGATGGGGGAAGGGCAGGGGTTTGCTTTTAGTGGCCAGCCAAGTTGGCGAGCTTTTGCTCGTAGTTTGTCCAAGAAGAGAAGAAAGAAATTCCACCGAATCAAGGCAGCAAGTGTCTTAAGCCTTCTGAGACTCCAACTGTGGGTCGGGGCTCAGCCACGAAGGTGTCACCTGGCAGCTAGCTGAAAGTGTACCGTGGAATCCCAAACCTGGGCCCGACCTGCAAGTCAGTCTGCATTATAACTAGGTCGCCCAGGGAACCATAGCCACATTCAAGTTTCAGAATCATCCTCTTAGAATAAATGCAGTCTGTGGTTAAAAATAGGGGCTTCAAGGCGGGTACCAACAGACTCTTGTTACACTTATTAATATCCCATCTCCACCTCAGAAGGGCTTAGGGAGAACATTGTAATTGAGCACGGAATTGTGCTCTCATCCTGACGACAGGGACGCAGCGCCACCAGAACTTGCTGATAGACTGAAGCTGCCACTTGGGTCCCCTGGAGGGAACACTGCAAGACTGGCCGTTCTACAAATAAGGCAAAAAATGCCTTTCACAGTCAATACATTGTACAAAGATGCCAGGCTCTGCTGTGCCAACTGATGATGAGGCCCAGGTAAACAAAACTGAGACTCTTACCTTGGGAAGCCGAAGTCCTGGTTAGGGCCAGAAACAAGTAGGGACATCCAAAGCTGTGTAATGTATTGTCTGTGCTGTGAAAAGCAGAGCAAGTTGTGGGAGTCAAGGAGTTGCTGGGCTTTGTCTCAGAATAACACTGGTACTGCGTCTCTCAGACGTTACTGAAAACCAGCAGGCAGCAGTGCCCCCTCAACTTTACGGGGTTCCCAGCCCTTGAGCTGATACCCAGATCTGTGCCCAGCACTCACTCCTGTGTGCTTTATGCCCTACCGTGTTGCCACAGGTGAGAGACCCTCTCAAAACCTGTGCAAAAGGCATATGATGGCAAAACTGCACAGATCTCAAAATTTGTTGGCACCAAAAATAAGAATCTTTTAATTTCCTTTTCCATAAACTTTTTTTCTATTCCAAAGTGAGCATCTTGCCGTGTTGTATGGCCTTGTGCCTGCTTTACATCCTTATTCTTGTGCTGTGGGGTCATTATCAGGCAGTGTAAGGGTGACTTGAACTTAAACCCTGTGATATAGCAGTGGTGGCTTGATAAGCAAGATGACTACTGAGTGAAGAATTGGGCGACACCCTGCACAAAGCCGTACTCACATCCCTAGCAGAGCAAGAGCACAGAGATGGTGTCGCTGTACTCTTGGGGTGCGTGGTCCAGAGCTTCAGAACTGTTCATTTCTGGGCTTTCCTCATTGACTCTTTTGAGATGTCAGTTGGTCGCTGTTGACTAAAAGCAAAGATCATATCTCAGATTTTCTTTTCTTTTTTTTTTAAGATTTATTTATTTTTTATTGGAAAAGTAGATTTACAGAGAAGAGAAACAGACAGATCTCCCATCCACTGGTTCACTCCCCAAGTAGCCATAAAGGCTAGAGCTGAGATGATCTGAAGCCAGGAGCTTCTTCTGGCTCGCTCTTGTGGGTGCAGGGTCCCAGGGCTTTGAGCCGTCCTCTACAGGTTTCCCAGGTCACAGGCAGGGAGATAGATGGGAAGTGGAACAACCAGGACCTGTCCCCATATGGGACCCAGTGCTTGACAGGTGAGAATTTAAGTTATTAACCCATCATGGTGGACCCACATCTGATATTTTCATTGTTTCCAGTTACACTAGCTGGAATGAGAGAGATGGAGGAGACTGCAAACCAGTGTGCCCATTTTACAAATGAGAAAAAGAGAGGCACAGGGAGATGAATTAAACTGCTTCTGCAAGGTTACCTTGCAGTTCCTGGGGAGGAGATGTGACTGAAAAGAAATGGGGGGACAGTGCTGTCTTGGGCAACTGACAAAGTTGATTTCCAGGGTTCCCGTTCTCATATACTTAGTAAAACAACTGTTCAGACACAAGTCAGAATTAGATCATGTCTGAGAGCCGAGCGTTCAAAAAGGCTAACAAGATGACTTGGTCCAAGCATTATTGAAGTTGGGAGTAGATAAGGAGCGCTGTCTGTCCTTGGTTGACTAGACAGAGCACAGATGTTCGCCTATCATCAAGCAGAGCATGAATGCACATCCAAGGACTCCCTGGGACAAGAGTGCGCTCTGGGCAAGAGGCCCCCCTCCTCCTCTTTCCTGGAGCCTCTTCTCAGCAGGCTCCCACGGGCCTCTGCTGCCCCAGCTATCCTGCCTGATGTATCCTGACATGCTTCAAGTTACATGGGGGTTAATGAGCAGCTAGGTTTGATCCCGGGCTTGAGTGACCACAGTCACTGCCTTTAAGCTGTAGGCATAAAGCCTTTCCACCTGGAGGCTGCCCACTGTGCCATGCAGTTGTGGGAAAATGAGTTTCCCGAGCCCCAGTTTGGTCATCCATTTAGTGGCTGGCAGCTTCCCAAGGTGTCTCCAGGGGAGCAGGCCTGTATCATTCTGCAGTGTGTACCCTTGCCAGCAGCTCCTAGCCGCTGAGGGCTAACTGTGTGCAAGGCACCTCACAGAGCTTGCTGCCTGTTTCTATACTTTGGTAGGCTAGGTGTTCTCCCTGCCTTTCAGATGAAACAACAATGCTGACAACAGAGCCAGGATTCCAGGCAGATGAAATTGTTACCTTGTCATCTCTCTTTCTTTAAATTAAGAACTCTGGGCATTGGCATTGTGGCACAGTGAGATAAGCTGCCTCCTGTAATACTGGCATCCCATATGTGTGCCAGTTTGTGCACCACTGCTCCACTTCAATCCAGTCTCCTGTTACTGTGCTGCCTGCATAAGCAACAGAAGATGGCCTTGGTTCTTGGATCCCTGCTACCCACCTGGGAGACCACGTGTTTGAAATCAATAAATAAATCTTAAAAAAAAAATCTGAAGCTGCAGTGGCCTGGATTTCCAGGTTTCTGGATCTTTTGTGCAAAATGGGCTAACAGAAAAATCTTTGCATTGGCAGCCTTCTCTGTGGTGGGAGTTGAAGGAAGCAGAAGGGCCCTGCAGAAGCCTGGGGTTGTGGGGCTTTGAGTTGGTCTTGCCTGTGAGCCACATTGTTCTTGGTCCTGTTCCTCCATGTGCAGTGTGCTTGCTGAAGTTCCACAGCTTCTGAAAGCACACAGCAGGGAATGGGAGCATGGTCGGTGCAATATCCCCAAGGCGTAGGCAGTAGGGATAGCTTAGTAGTGACAGGCTTGAGGCTCCAGGGGTTCCAAAGCTGGGAAACAACTCATTCTTGCTGGAAGTGCAAGGCCTACTGGTCTGATTCTGAAAATCCCTGTGAGGACAGATGGCACCTGGTAGTACCTACAGGCGTGGGGAATGTGTATGGGGATGGAGCATGGGTCTTGTGAAGGGTCTGCTGCTGATTGCCTGCACGTGCCAGGCCCTTGGTGCCTTGCATTCTGCCCTTCATAGCAGAACCAGGGAGTGGCAGCAGGGCCCATCCCTTCTGCAGATGTCCATAGTGGCACTCAGACACAGCCCTGCAGGGCAGCTGGATGCCAACCCATTGCTCAGAGAGAGAAACATGAGATCCAGAGCAGTGTAAGAATTTATGAGGCATCTACAGTCATACCACCCTGAACGCACCCGATCTCGTTTGATCTCAGAAGCTAAGTAGGGTCGGGCCTGCTTAGTACTTGGATGGGAGAATTTATGAGGCGTCACACCTAGTTAGTAAGCAGAACTGGAGTTGAACAACTAACGGAAGCAGGGGTCATGAACGCTGGGCCTTTCCAAGGTCAGACTGACCAGGGACGTGTGGCAAGTGGCCAGAAGTGGGATGAGCAGGTTTGCAAGCTGCCAAGTGCTTGCCCCCTCAGTGACAGCCCCAGCTGAGAGTTGGAGTGGGCAGGCATGAGAACAAGCCTAATTAGTGCTACTGTGACTCTTGACAATTACCTCTTCTGCACCTCAGTTTTCCTTTCTGTAAAATGGAGATAGCACTGTGGGTCTCTTGGGTTGTCATTAGGCTTAAATGAGTAGAAACACATGAAGTACTTAGGCTCTGTGCTAGTGATTGCCACATGTAATATCTGAGACTTCCCAAGCCATATCAAATAAAAATTAACATGCACACCTCGAAGGCGTAACCTCTGTCTTGAGAAGATTTTTATTTTTATTGCAAAGGCAGAGCTATAGAGAGAAGAAGAGATAGGGAGATTTTCCATCTGCTGGTTCACTCCCCAAATGGCTGCAAATGGTCAGAGCTAGCTAATTTGAAACCAGGAGCCAGAAGCTTCTTCCAGGTCACCCAATGTGGGTACAGGGTTCCAAGTCTTTGGGCTGTCCTCTGTTACTTTTCCAGACCACAGCAGCAAGCTGGATGGGAAGTGGAGAGCCCAGAATATGAACCAGTGCTCATATGGAATGCTGCAGCTGTAAGTAGAGGATTAGCCTGCTATGCCATGGAGCCAGCTCCCAAAAGAATAATTTCTATGAAACG